ATTCGCTGTGGGTTTTGCACAAGGCGGGACCTTGTCCAGGTGTGTAGGCAAAACCAAGACAAGAGCGTAAATCTCATCTGAAGGTCACAAGCACGTTTGAGAGCAGTTTGGGTGGCTAGAACAGGCTAGTTTATGAATGGCGACAGCAACGTTTTAATTAATGCAGAGGCTGCCTTTGAAATTATCAGCTGACATTAAGCAACACCCTGTATCCCTATATCCAGGTGGACACCAAGCTGGCGTTATCATCAACCTTCCTCTTTGATACATGGCAAAGGTTAAGGAGGCAGGACAGGCTATTTCCCCAGATGAAAGGTTCTGTAAAAGTAATTGTTGTTTTGGTTTCGCCTGTGGGTGGGAAATGCCTTATAGATTTATAGAGATTTGCCATCAAAGCGACCTGGGAGATTAACGAGTGCATCTTCCTTCACATTCCTGTTCGTTTATGTGACGCTTTTATTAACACATTTCTAAATTGACATGTCATAGGGGCATATATTTTGTGGATACGCATGAATCTTGATGTGTGTGTGTGTGTGTGCATGCATTAAGTAAAACACACCATATTGCTTACATCCTACTTTACAGAGAAAATACATCATATTGTATACATTTCCAGACAAACTTATTGCAAAAATATATTTCGGGGGATACAGTTCCCTCTGTTGCACATCTCTTTCGTGGGTTACCTGCAGGCATCCTACAGACTCCATCCAGACTTTCCAGCCTGTGACGCCCTATAAAAATTTCCTCGGCTCAGTTTCTCAAGAACATATATACTTTGGCGAGTCCATGATCCATTTCCAGACCTTCTGTTCCTTTTTCACCCACGATTCTATTTCCCATTTTTTAGATGGGGGCTTGTCCGTTTCAATGTCATCTGTCTTATTCTCTTTTTTTTTTTTCAAGGGACAGTCTCGCTTGTTGCAGGCTAGAGGGAGTGCTGTGGCGTTAGCCTCGCTCACACAACCTCCACTCTGGGCTCAAGCCATCCTCCTGCTCAGCCTCCCCCCGGTAGCTGGCTACAGGCATGCGCCACCATGCCCGGCTATTTTTTCTATATATATTAGTTGAGCAATTCAATTTCTTTCTTTTATGGGTAGAGACGGGGTCTTGCTCTTGCCAGGCTGCTTTCGAACTCCTGACCTTGAGTAATCCACCCTCCTCGGCTCCCAGAGTGCTGGGATGACAGGCGTGAGCCATGGCACCCGGCCTGTTCATCTGTTCTTGCCTTATCAATGCCTGCTTTTGTTCTGAAGACCTTGCGTGCTTGTCTGCTCCAGCTGCTGTAACTAAGAACCACAAACCGGGCGGCTTAAGCAGCAGATGTGTATTTTCTCATAATTCCAGAGGCTGGAAGTCCCGGATCCAGGTGTCTCAGGGCTGCTTCCTCCTGGGTCCTCTTTCCTGGGCGTGTAGACGCCGTCTCCTCCCTGTGTCCTCACGGGGTCGTCCCTCTGTGCCAGTCTGTGTCCTCATCTTCTGTGCTCATAAGGACACCGGTCAGATTAAATTAACATCCTTGGATGCTTCCGGGCTTGGCAATGTTTGCTGTCCCATCTGCATCCGTCTTTTGCAGGTTACGATCCTGTCTTTGCCTCCAGAGACCTCTGTCTGGCCCTCTCAGCACGGCTGTGCTCTAGTGAAGCACCTGCTAACCTTCCCCACTAAGTCTACGATCCCGGCACAGCCCGGGACCAAGGCTGCCGTTCTGAAATTGAACCCCAGAATTGGGGTTTATGATGTTCCGCCTCTCTTCTCTTCTCTTTTCTCGCTGCCAGGTTTTCTTGTGGTTTTCCTCTCCACCGAAGAAGAGCCTCACCCACCTTGATGATGTGTAGGCTGTGCTCAGTGCCCTCTGTCTGTTCGTCTAGACGCCCTTGTCACATGTCTGTTCCTCCCAGATACCCTGCGGCTTGACCTTTCTACATCGGAAAGGGCCCGATATCTTCTACTTCACTGCGGGCTTGCATGGTGGGTGACTTCTGCTATATGTCTGCATCCTTGGGAGTTAATCTCCAAAGATGAAAACACTGAAACCTGGAACGGATAGGGACAGTATTCTGAGGCTCGGGGACTTCCTTTATCTCTGTAAAGCCAATGTTTTGGGGATGGGAAGCTGTGCGGCAGGGCCGCACCCTGGTTCATGGCTGATGCCCAGCCTCATTCACACCCTGGCGTTTTGAGAAAATAAATGTTCTCTAAGAAATAACATCGGCCAGGCGCGCGGTGGCTCACGCTGTCATCGCAGCACTCTGGGAGGGCCGAGGCGGGAGGATCGCTCCAGGTCAGGAGTTCGAAAACCAGCCTGAGCAAGAGCGAGACCCCCGTCTCTACTAAAAATAGAAAAAATGAATTGGCCAACTAAAATATATCTAGAAAAATTAGCCGGCATGGTGGTGCATGCCTGTGGTCAGCTACTCGGGAGGCTGAGCAGGAGGATCGACTTGAGCCAGGAGGTTGGAGGTTGCTGTGAGCTAGGCTGACGCAGCGCACTCTAGCCTGGGCAACAGGAGGTGACACTCTGTCTCAAAAAATAAAATAATAATAATAATAATATAATATAATAATAAATAATGTTTGTTTCTTTGTTTAATAATAAAAGCTTTTTGTTCCTTGCCAGTGAGGGAGAACATGGCAACTGTGTTAAAGACCATCAATAGTGATGTCCTACCGATGTTGTATTGGAGAGATATTTATTGCAAAGATAATCATTAAGGAAGGCGGAAATGGCTGTGTGGTGAATCGCAAAGCAATTGTTCACAAGCCACCGGTGTTTTTGCCTGTCTCTCACCTGGTCCTTGGAAGCTCTAGGTTCCTTGGTGTGGCGTGTACCGGATAAGCACAGAACACCTTAGGCAGTGGAGTTAAAGAGACGCAACAGAGTCTGATTGTTTTTATTTTATTTTAGAATGTCAGACCGTGGTCAGATGCAATGCAGGAGGCTGTGGAGTTGTGGGGCACAGAAAGCGGACCCCCACTCACAGGTTAGGATGTGGGCTTCAGCTGGTACCCCCAGACACCCCGGAGTACCGGCCTCTAGAGATAGCACGTTGGACAGTCCTGATGCACGGATGAAGATGAAGCGGTGGCCTTGGGGACTGGCTTATGTGCAAACACACACACACACGTGCACACATATGCACACACACAACACACACACACACACACACATAGAGGCAACTGAGAGGCAGAAGCCTCATTTCAAACCCCAGCTTTTCAGCTTACCAGCCTTGTGAAGAAGGTCTCTTAAACTCTACCATCTCCAACTCCTTCTACCAGGAAATGGAAGCATCACCGGGAACCCTTTGACACAAGCAGGCTGGGCTGTTTTGAGGGTCCAATGGGAGCACGAGTGTGCAAATGCCTGAGGAGCTGCAAAGCTCTATAAACGGCACTACTACGGTGTTATTAAACTTTATGATACATCCCTTTGTCTCCTGGGGTAGCTCCTCGGGCTGTGAAACCTCGTCGACTTGGGGTAATTTGAGTTTCCTAGGCAGGGGAGGGTCAGAATGTACCACTCTTTGGAGACTATCATTAAAAAAAAAATCGTAATTATAGCTGCTAAACGTGTCCTCCTGGGCTAGGTGCATGCTGCTTATGGGTCTGCATTTTAAGTTGATTGATTTCCTGTGCTCTTTAGAGTTTGTGTGTGTCCTTTAGGAAAAGCACAGGATGGATTTTTTTATTTTTATTTTTATTATTTTTGAGACAGAGTCTCACTCTGTTGCCTGCGTAGAGTGCCGTGTTGTCATCATAGCTCACCGTAACCTCGAACTCCTGGGCTCAAGCGGTCCTCCTGCCTCAGCCTCCCGAGCAGCTGAGACTACAGGAATGCACCATAAGGCCCAGCTAATTTTTTTTTCTATTTTTAGTAGAGACGGAGTCTCGCTCTCTCTCAGGCTGGCCTGAAACTCCTGACCTCAAGCAATCCTCCTGCCTCGGCCTCCCCAGAATGCTAGGATTGCAGGTGTGAGCCATGGCGCCCAGCCAAGATGAAATATTTTAAAAAAACAAAATGTTTTCTAGCACCATGCCACACAAAAGTAGGTCTTCTACAAAAAGTTATTGAATATGTGCCCATTCGTTGATTACCTATTCATTTTACTGACTCAAGAATACAGGGTTTCTGTCGTTGGGTCCACACAGATTTTTGTTGGGACAGTGTCATCAGAAGTACCCTAAGCTGGCTAGATCATGCATACAATTTTGTCTTATACTTGCTGAGCGAATTTGGCTTTTTTCAGTGAGGCTACACAAGACCAGGAGAATGGGCTTCACGTGTACTCGCCATCAAATTGGTACTGACTGATCAACACTATGGTGTTCAAAGGGTGGTGGTGTTCACCAGGGATTGGGGGGGGGGTGGTAAACCCACATCTTGGGGATGTGGAGAGCATTGTGGAGGGGAAGGGCATACCTCCAACCTTTCCTAGGGAGAGGAAATGATATAAAATGTAACCAAAATGTCAAAAAAACAAAACAAAACAAAACAAAACAAACAAAAAAAAAAACCTACCACCACCGCTACAAAAAAAAATGTTTATCGGGTGTCAGGCAGGTGGGAGCAGGGAGGAGGGGATGGGTGTATACTTAGGTAATGAGTGTGGTGCGCACCACCTGCAGAATGGACACGCTTGAAGCTCTGACTCGGCGGGGGTGGGGGGATTGGGAGTGGCAAGGGCAATGTATGTGACCTTATCAATATTTGTACTCCAATAATATGATGAAATAAAAAGGAAAAAAAGAGAAAAACTCCAATTACCAGGCAATATACTCTTCCTAATCATATGACTACAAAGCAATGGAATAGGAAAAAAAAATTTTGGGGGGGGCTTTCTTTTTTTTCCAATTAGGTATAAAGAATTTACCGTGTCACCATAAAAACCGTCTAGCTAACACTTTGGACCATTAACTGTCTAGCTACGAGAAAAAGAGTTGCTTTGCCGGTGGTCTGAGTTTACTTTTCTCCTCCCCAGGTAACACGACAAGAAGACATGAAACGGCCATTCTACACCTGGTGAGTAGGTGCATTCATAAATACGCATTATTCGCTATTTCTAGAGAGAAGGGTTCCTTCTGGGTTAAGATTTTCCCTATCCTGGGTGGCTTTGGTTTTGCATAATGTACCCGAGAAATACGCTCGAACCCTTTTGCACTTGATGTCGAGTGCAATTACTCTTTGAATGTATCAATAATTTGAAATAAAAAAAAATCCAAATAAATAAGTCTGTATGAAAAGAAACTCCAGTTTTTTTTATTCTACTGCCGCGCTTTGTAAAATCTGGGGTATTTAAAAAAAATTAAATCCCGAGTGAGAGATAAAGAAGTCGAGAAAAAAGCAAGCGACGGTGCAAAGGGTTAAGAACGCCTCTGTGGAGATGTCGGATCTAATCAACCATTCCTGTTATCTTGTATCAGGTGTTTTTTTAATTTTTCAATTCAGGAATAGTTGACGGGTACAGAGCGGGTGTTTAGGTTCTTATAATTGCTTTGCCCCTCTGCTTTCTATTTTTCAATAACCATAGTTAAACTCAAGGCGGGTTGTGATTTCATACCTCTTTGTGAGTACGAATGTCTTCATGTATTTTGAATAGCCCTGGGCATTCTGTATGAGGTGATTTTCAACTTGAAATTTGTCCGCGGCTGATGCTATTATTGCTACAAGTTGTCGGTTTTTTTGTTGTTGATTTTTGTTTTTTTACGCTACTCTTTGCCTGTGTCGTTTTTACATCTTCTTGAGTTTCAGATTTTATCTGTGTTTCGGTTTTACGTGTGTCCTTTAGAAAAAGCACATGATGCATTTTTTTTTTGAAAAAAGAATTAGTATGAGATTCTTTTTACTTTCATAGGCCCAGGAGCCACCTACACTTGTTATAAATGTTAACATAGTTGATCTTATTCCTGCTGTCTTGGCACGCTGTTTAGCATTTTTTAAAATTTCAGAATATTACGGGGGGTAGCAATGTTTTATATATATATAAATATATATATATATAATATATATTAAAATATATAATAATATAATATAATAATATATATAACCTATATAATATATAGGTTACATATAGTGCCTTTGCCTCACTGTGCTCTTTAATTATTCCGAGGTCTCTTTCGTTTTTCTTTTCCTTCTTCCTGCCATTTATGGCTATATTGTGTTTTCTCTACTTCCTTCCTCATCCTCCCCCCTCAAATGTTCTGGAAACTACGTCTCATGCTTCCCTTCATCATCGTAACGTGGTTATTAACCTACCGAAATATGTCGGTTCATCAGGCTCCCTTCCTCACCTCAAAGAACGCAAACACTGGGGGACATTTTAGCACCACAATCTTGCTTCTCTCTCTCTCTCTCTCTCTCTCTCTCTCTCTCTCTCTCTCTCTCTCTCTCTCTCTGTCTCTCTCTCTCTCTCTCTCTCTCTCCTCTCTCTCATTCTCCCATATAATCATTGCTCAGGCAATTGCTTACCCCTTCCTAAAATAATTATTATATCACTATTATTGTTTTCCTGTCAGCCCATATTTAGAGTTGTCAACACGTTTTGTCTTTGTTTTCTTTCAGTGTCTTTTCTTATGTCTACCCTTTCTTTCTGGGGCAGCTCCGTCTTTTTCTGAAAATATTCCTCAGTAATTCTTCCATCGAGATTCTTTGATCTTGTGGGTTTCCCCGGGTGCCTATAATCCCTTCTCACTCTTCAGTAAGGTTGTGGAAGGCTCTAAGTTCCCAGTGGCTGTTCTCTCAGCACCCTGGAAACAGCGGTGAAAAAGCAAATTATGTAACCAAAATGTGTGTACCCCTGTAAATTCTGAAATTTAAAAGAAACCCCCAAATAAGTATCAATGAAATGGCCAATTAAAAAATTTTTTGTAGCCCGGGCGCGGTGGCTCACGCCTGTCATCCTAGCTCTCTGGGAGGCCGAGGCGGGCGGATTGCTCGAGGTCAGGAGTTCGAAACCAGCCTGAGCAAGAAGCGAGACCCCGTCTCTACTATATAAGAAAGAGAATTATTGCCACGTAATTATATATACAAAAAATTAGCCGGGCATGGTGCGCATGCCTGTAGTCCAGCTACTTGGAGGCTGAGCAGGAGATCGCTTGAGCCCAGGAGTTTGAGGTTGCTGTGAGCTAGGCTGATGCCACGCACTCACTCCCTAGCCTGGGCAACAAAGTGAGACTCTGTCTCAAAAAAAAAAATTTTTTTTTTTGTAGAGTTGGGGTCTCACTCTGTTGCCCATGCTGGTCTCAAACTCCTGGCCTCAAGTGATCCTCCTACCTCGGCCTCCCAGAGTGCCGGGATTACAGGCATGAGGCACCACCGCACCTGGCCTCAGATTACTCTCTAATCTAGCCAAATGTTTATCCAATATAATAAGGTTATCATGTAATGGCAAGGATTATGTTTTTTATGTCCAAAAGTTTTATTTTGTTAGTTTAATAAAAAAACAACAAACAACAACAACAAAAAAACTGTCCTCTTTTCATTTGGAAATGCCTTGTTCTTGCTGCCCAGACTTAATTTATTGATCCTTTGGTTAGAACCTCCTTAGCATGGGTACATGAACGAAGGTCTCCGGAAAATTATTAACAATCATCTCATGGTTTCATTTGCCCACCTGACACCTATTATCCACCTACCTAATACATCTCTCTATCAAACCCACCTACCCATCCTCATCTACCCATCATCTATGTATCTCTCTTCCATCGTTTATTATCCGCCCATACTCCATCATATCTATGTTCTATCTACTCCTGGAAACATTTCGCCCCGTTAATTTTGTTTTTCTTTCTTTGCAAGCTCATCTCATCATGCACATGCTAATTTTTGTGGGATTTTGACTCAGGGTTCCCTCCCCAAGACTCCCCCGGATTTATGCATTCGCTGGGAGGACTCACAGGTCTGTGCTAGGAGTTGAGCTCAAAGGCATGATTTGTGGAAGCCAGACGATGAAAAAAGAATCTTTAAAGGGGGAAAGGCAGCACGTCGTAAATTCTGTAAGTTAGGAGACCACACACAAGCTTCCGAGAGTCCCCTCAGTGGAGTGACAGAGGATGCATTTATTTCCCTCAACGATAGGTTCTGACGACACATGTGGAATGTTGTCTACCAGGAAAGCTCCCTGGAGATTCAGCACCGAGGCTGAATACATTTGTGGGCTGGCCACTTAGACACCTGCCGCCTGGCGCTAACCAAAACTCCGAGCTCCCGGAAGGAAAGCAGGTGTTCAGCATAAGCCACCTTGCCTGCAGAAACAGTTTGGGTGTGCAATCACACCCTTTCGTTCCTTTAGAGAATGCAAGACCCTTGCCACGTCCCAAGTCCCCAGATTCTAGCCCAGGGCTCCTCAAACTTTTTAAACAGGGGGCCGGCTCACTGCCCCTCAGACCGGGGGAGGGTGCGCACTGTGGGCCCGGGACGAGTCGGCTGCTAAGCGGGACAGGCAGCGGCGGCAAAAACACCCGGAGGGCCGGCTAATTTTTTTTCCCAGTACAGGCGTGTTGTGCAAATGTCCCTGTGAGATACAGTCTCTCTGGCTTTCACCTTGCTCTCACACAATGCACGGGTTTAAACTCGCTTTATGCAAATTCCCAGCTTGGGGGTTCTGCGAGGCTGGCATGGAAGGTCCAACTTCATAAACAGGCCCTTGGACAGCACCAGATATTTGGGGACGGCTTTCTCGCGAGTTTTCTTTCTCTGCCACGGTTTTGGGTGGATGTCTGCCTCTCCTCTTTGCCTCCAGGAGCGTGTCGGTCATGGCGGGGCTCAGGTTTTTAATCTCCACGGCAAGGAGAAGCCACTGGACTTCTTTAGGGAGTCCTACATCTGCGTATTTATTGGGTCACTCTGCTTGGGGCTGTATTTTGCAGTGGGGCAGGGGAGAAACTGGAAACGGTTGGGCCAACCTAGAAGGTTTTGACATATCCAAGTGAGACATGCAGTGAGTTTCTTGGGCTACAGAAATGGGAGAAAAAAGATGAACAGTTGTAAAATTATGATACCATATTTGAGGTAGAATTAGCAGGACTTGCAATTGACTGAATGGAATTTGGGGTCGAGGAATCGATCTCATGAAGGAATGTTGGTCTTCAGTTTGTAGTGATATGGATTTTCTTTTTTTTTACAATCTAAAATGTAGTACAATTTAATTTAGTACAATTTAAAATTTAGTACAATTTAATTTAGTACAATTTTCTTGTATAGATGTTAAATTTTTTTAGTTTTGGGGGAGTTCTTTTCTTCCTTTTTTTGGCAGGGGGGAGTTGAGTTTCCTGCACCTGATTTGTTCCTTATGTGTACATATTTTCCTGATGAAGGAAAGAAGAAATAACTTTTTATACACTCATACTTGCATTCCTTGGGCTCAGATCCAAGAAGTTTACTGAAGACTATTTTATCACTTTCCCCTCCATGTGGCTTAGAGCAAAATGATGAGGTTATAAAATGTATTAAAAAGTACAACTGAGCATGAAAAATAATATATCAAATCTGACTAGCTCTGAGCCTCTGATTTCCGATTTTGTTTACATTTTTATGCCATAAAATCAAGTATTTCAGCCTTACCCTCAACTTCAACCTCTGTTATCATTTTTAAGGGTCTGACATCACTAAAACAGTCTGAAAAGATGTTAAAAGAATTAAATGTCAGCATGCTTGCAAAGTTAATTGGTAAAATATGATACTGTATCCACGAGGAATATTAATTTAAAAAAATAATTCTGGTTTCTGAGTAAGACAATGCAGATATGTTGCACAGTGGGAATTGATAAGGAGTATCGTTATTTTATATTTTTTAATTTCAGAATATTACGGGGGTACAAGTGTTTTGGTTACATAAATTTCTTTTGTACCATTTGAGCCAAAGTTACAAGTGTGCCCATCCCCTAGGTAGTGTGCATTGTACCCGTTAGGTGTGAATTTACCCAACGCCTCCTCCCACTCCCACCTGCTTGATTTCCGATGAATGTTACTTCCGTATGTGCACATGAGTGTTGATCTATTAGTAGCAATTTAGTGGTGAGTCCATGTGGTGCTTGTTTTTCCATTCTTGTGATGCTTCACTTAGTAGAATGGGCTCCAGATCCATCCAGGATAACACAAGAGGTGCTAGATCACCATTGTTTTTTTGTGGCTGAGTAGAACTCCATGGTGTATAGATACCACATTTTATTAATCCACTCATGGATGGATGGGCACTTGGGTTGTTTCCACATCTCTGCAATTGTGAATCGTGCTGCTGTAAACATTCGAGTGCAGGCGTCGTTTTTATAGCGTGTCTTTTTTTTCCTCCGGGTAGATGCCCAGTAGTGGGATTGCTGAATCCAATGGTAGTCCTACTTGTATCTCTCTAACGTATCTCAACGCTCCTTACCGCAACAGAGCTTATACTAGTATAGTTTCATTATTTTCTACTTTAAGCGGCCTAAAATGCAAATGTTAGTAGACAACGTCCGTTAATTTGTTTCCTTTTGTTTTTCCCCCTCCAAAACACTTCTAGGACCTGCCGGCTGTGGGTGACCCTGTGCTGCCTGCTTGGGGGTGTCCATGGGACGTTCGTGACGAGAAACTCCAGACCCAACATTGTCCTGCTGATGGCAGATGACCTGGGGGTGGGCGATTTGTGTTGCTATGGCAACAACACAGTGAGGTAAACACCGCCCTGGGCCGGCCCTGCCTGTGTGTGTGTGTGTGTGGGGGGGTGCGGGGGTGTCCCTGAAGCCACAGCCACCCCCTTCTTTGTCACTGTAGAGGATGTTTTACAGAGAGGAGCCCCTTCATCTGACATTAGGGACTAGCACAAGGCACGCAGGAAAATCGCAAAACCAGGGGCCCAGCCAGCATCACGCAGTCCTGGGTCTCCAGACACCATTGCCGATTTTTATTGTGGTGTCAAAACTCACACATCATAACATTCACCCTTCTAACCATTTTAAAGTGAGCAGTTCAGTAGCATTGAGTGCAGTCACAAATGCTTCAAAACCATCACCTCTGTCTAAATGCCTGGGCTTTTTCATCCCTGCAAAGGCAGATTCTGCATCTCTTAACCACTCCCTTTCCATGTCTCCTCCTGTCCCCAAGCCCCTGGTCACCACTGATTTACTTTCTGTCTCTAATGGGTTTGCTCATCCTTGAAATTTCACACAGAGAGAATTACATAATGTATTCATCGTCTTGGGCTGCCATAACAGAGTCCCACAAAACAGGGCGGCTTGACCAACAAAAATTTATTCTCTCAACATCCCTGAAGGTGGAAGTCCCAGAGCCAGGTATCCCAGGGCTGGTTCCTCCTGGGTCCTCTCTCCTGGGTGTGTAGACGCCGTCTCCTCCCTGTGTCCTCATGAGGTCATCCCTCTGTGCCTGTCTGTGCCCTCGTCTCCTCTGCTTATAGGGTCCCCAGTCCTGTTGGATCAGGGTCCATGCTAGTGACCTCAGTTTACCTTAATTGACCTCTTTAAAGGGCCATCTCCACACACAGTCACAGTCTGAGGTCCTGGGGACAGGGCTTCAGTATGTGGATTTGGGAGGACACAGGTCAGCCCACGAGCTATATAGCATGTGGTCTTTTGTACCTGGCTTCTTTCCCTGAGCATAATGTTTCCAAGCTTCACCCAGGTTGTAGCAGGTGTCAGAGGCTCCTTCCTTTCTACGGGTGAATAACATTCCGTTATATAGACATGCATGTCAGTCTAGAGCAGGCGTCCTCAAACTACGGCCCGTGGGCCACGTGCGGCCCGCCGAGGACATTTATCCGGCCTGCCGCGTGTTTTTCCTGCCGCTGCCTGTCCTGCTCAGCAGCCGACTCGTCCCGGGCCCAGAGTGCACATGTGTGGAATGTGCACCCCACTCTCCAACGGTCTGGGGGACAGTGAACTGGCCCCTGCTTAAAAAGTTTGAGGAGCCCTGGTCTAGAGTTTTAAAAATATCTTCCTTGAATTATATTCCAAAGCCCCTGGTACTTGGGGGTCTGCCTTATTCCTCTGCCCTCTGTTGGCAGACAAATCTTGCTCACGGGAAACTATACGGCATCTTTTAGCGTGCATTCAATTCAACAAGCACTGTTTCTTCTTGGCGAGTGGATCGCAGTGCTGTTCTACATTTTAAACATACACTTGTCGACGGGAAGGCGTTGGTCTTAAAGGCATGTTAGGTGTCTATAAGCAAAGGAGGAGCTGAGGGAGGCATTTCCCTATCCACTCTGTGGAAGTAAAGAGGTTAGGAAGGAGACACCACTTAGGATTGATACATTGTCAGTCACAAGCAGATATTGATACATTGTTAGTCATAAGCAGATACAGTCTCTGCTTATACAAAATACAGGATCGATACATTGTAAGTTGCAGGCAGACACTGCCTTTGCTCAAACAAAATACAGGATTGATACATTGTCAGTGACAATTGACACAGTGTCTGCCTCTACTCTCACAAAACACAGGGCTGCAGGGACAGCCTCACATGCCAAGAGTGTTAAAGTGCATAAAAGACCCTCCCTCTTCATCTTTCTGTAAGATTATGAAAAAAAAAATGCCGTTCACATGTGATCATGATTGGGTACGGTTTAGTTTTATGGGAGAGCGAGGCAGCTCTTTTTTTTCTTTCCCTGTAGAATTCTACAGGTTTATACAAAAATTTTGCAGTATTTTGAACACCTTAAAATATTGGACAAAATGGGAAATAAACTTTCCAAAATGTCGCAACTCTTTAATAAAAAGACAATCAAGTTTACTAGGAGGAATCCATTAATATTTTACCTAATGTAAGTTAACTCATTAATGTAAGGACTATAAGAAGAACAAATTGGCTAACTTTCCACTGAAATGCGTATTCACTCGGACTTGTGGTGCTTTAATTACGCCAAGTGTCCTGTATTTATTTGTGGTGGTTGTGCCTGGAGATGTATTATTTCACACTCAGCTTTGTGTTTGCTTCCAACCATTGAGGCATTTAAGTAGGTAGACAGGGAGAAGGAGTGGATGGGTAAATGCACACCTAACATGAGCAATGCACACTATCTGGGGGATGGGCACACTTTAAAACTTAGACTCAAACTGTACAAAAGCAATTTATGTAACCAAAACATTTGTACCCCCATAATATTCTGAAATGAAAAAGGAATCACCCACAGGCATTCAAAAAAAAAATAAAACATAAAAAAGTAAAATAAAAACCACACAGAACCTTTTGTTCTCTGGAACAGCACCGTTTACATACCACTGACCTTGAATGACATTGAAGATCAGCCAACGGTAGCCCAAACGTCGTTTCACTTTGTTGAATAACGTCTTGGGTAGATAGTTGTCAGCTGGCAGACAAAGCTAAACATTTCTCGTAGGGTTTTCTCATGAAAGAGTCACATGCAATACTCAACACAGATCGATGTTCGTCTCATCCGATGCAGAATATGCAATGACAGAACAGTACCTAGTGTCTGGTCCCTTTGCATTTTATGGAGCACAGTTTACAACCAAAACAGCACCAAAACATCAGGTTTCAGATAGGCCAGCCACAGTCTCAGCAGTTTGGCCATTAATTAAAAAAGAAAAAAAAAATCTGTTTCAGAAGCACCTTTTCTGTCCATCTTATGTTCTGTCTGATTTTTTTCGTGAATATTACTGTGATCACGACATTGGAAAAAGAGTTGCTTTTTGGTGCAGCAGACACGAATGAAAATACTGCTAGTTGTAACAGTGTATCACAAAGGGTCGTAGAACTTATCCAAGTTGATGAATTCTGCAAAGTGAAGCTGACAGTCACCCTATCATCAGTTAATTCTGTCAACTGCACGCATTGTGTTTTACTTAGCTCTGAATCTCATCTTCCTTCTGCCTTCGGTTCCTGTTCGGGACTGCCCTGATGATTCTCACGACCTTTGTCATTTCAACAGTTGTCATGTTATTTTGGTATTTTTGCCCATCGTGCTTTGCTTCCTTCTCTTTATGCCTTTGGCCATCCGTTTTTTATTAATTCCTGTAGTTACACAATGTGAATTTTTGCCATCAAGAAAAACAAAAAGTAGGTAGGCAGATGGAGGTTGTAAGGGGGTGGATTTTAGGGGTAGCAGACACACAGAGTCCTCTCGCCCCAGAAGGGAACGGCTTTGAACCTCGATCGTGTTCTTGGGAGTTAAAAATCTCACCCGCTGCCCTGCCTCCTTCTGTCCACAGCACGCCGAATATCGACCGGCTGGCGAGCGAGGGCGTGCGGCTGTCCCAGCACCTGGCGGCGGCTTCCATGTGCACCCCAAGCCGGGCCGCCTTCCTGACCGGCCGGTACCCCATCAGATCAGGTGACTCGAAAGAACCCCAACAGTAGCTTTTCCCCCCAGCGTACTTGCTGAGGATTTGTTTTTGCAGATCTTTATAAGAACTCTCAAAAGGTCGCTCGAAGTATTAGGAATATATATACTCAGAGGGGGCGGTGTTGCTATACCTGGCCAGCCTGAACAGGTGTGCCCCTTAGCAGGCCCTGGTGCACCTGCTACCTGAGTGCACATAGTGATGGGTTGGGGCGCTTGGGAGCAATTTCCCAGCTACTGTGGACATGCCCACATCCAGGTACTTGTGGGAAGTTACTTCAAGAAGCCCCAGAAAGTCTTTTTTTTTTTTTTTTATTCTGAGACAGGATCTTGCTCTGTTGTCCTGGTTGGAGTGCAGTGGCATCATCGTAGCTCACCGCAACCTCCAACTCCTGGGCTCTAGCAACCCTCCTGCCTCAGTCTACCAAGTGTCTTGGGACTACAGGTGTGCCCCACCATGCCCGGCTGATTTTTCTATTTTTAGTAGAGATGGGGCTCTCACTGTTGCTCAGGCTGGTCTCAAACTCTTGGCCTTGAGCAATGCCCCTGCCTCAACCTCCCAGAGTGCTGGGATGACAGGTGTGAGCCACCACACCTAGCCACCAACACCCCTCTATTTTTTAAGAGGCAGCATCTTGCTCTGTTGCCCAGGCTGAAGTGCCGTGGTGCAATCATAGCTCCCTACAGCCTCTAACTCCTGAGATCAAATGATCTTCCTGCCTCGGCCTCCTGGAGTGCTGGGATTATAGGTGTGAGCCACCGCACCTGGTCCCGCTGAAGTCTTAATGCTGACAGAGACCACACAGTAGTTTTAAGATAAGTGGGTTTAATCAGTTGCTGAGGATGAGATTGGAAAAGTGGAAGGCAGAATTGGGCAGAAAGTATGACTGAGAAAATGAAAAGGAAATGAGAGTTGTACATACTTCTTTACCCTCCACCCCTCCACATGCAATATCAACGTTTAGACTTACTGAGTTGAGTATAATCACCACAGTTTAATATTTTCCTTGGCGGCTTAGCTTAGAATCAACATCATGAACGTCAAGTTTTATACCCAGCTGAAATGCAATGATGTCCTTAGACTCCATTGAAATATTCTAGTTTATCAGTCTCTCTGTGAAATTGGCTGACTGCTGTGTTTTGTTTAATTCTAGTATCTGCTTGTCACCATTTTAGAGTATCCACTGTCACAGTTTATTTTTCAGTGGAAAAAAAAATGTTTTCCCATGATTTTCCTTCCTTCTAAGTGGCAGCTTCTCATTGGCTATGCTCTGGGAAATGAACTAATCATTTTAATTTGAATTACATGAAAATTAAGAGTAAGCATTGAACGTTCTTGTCCAATGGACATTGACTTATTATTGTCTGTTTTTGTTGCCCAGAGAGAACTTCTTTCATAATTCAAGGTTCTCAGTTTTCTTCAAAATAGCTTGGTTGCCAGATAAGCAGTCTCTAAATAACATGGCACCATGTGTGAGGAGCTATAAAGACATGGATCCATATGAATATAAAAAAAATCATATTTATAGTTTCAGGAAATTGAAAGTATTGATTAGGGTGGGATAACATTTATTTAACAAAATCAAGAACAAAATGAAGGGATTGATGGAGAGATGTCAAGTCATTGCCATATATATATATTTTTAAATTATTTGACACAAATCATTCAGTTCAGTTCTTCCTATGTATCAAAAATTCCAGCAAAAAGCTCAATACTGCGATAATATTCCAACATAACCCTTAACCAAAGAGTTCTGAATTTATCAAGAGTCTAGGGAAGTACAGCCATGAAGTAGAGGGAACACTCAGGAAGGAGCAGCATGGTAGAGGTATAGGAGATCTCAGGCAGGTGGGGATGGGTCCCGATATTTGCAAAGACCGCCATTAAAAGACGGCCGGCCGCGCTAATCCGTTGACGTGTGTGCATTTAGGAATGGCGTCTCCCTACAACCTGAACCGTGCCTTCCCCTGGCTCGGTGGCTCGGGCGGCCTTCCTACCAACGAGACGACGTTCGCCAAGCTCCTGCAGCATCAGGGATACCGCACGGGACTCATCGGTATGGGAATGGGGTCGTGCATGTTCCCTCTCGTTGCACCTGCTCTTGCCCAGGGACGGGGGCTGTGGGTGTGCTGGTTCACTTCTCTTTGGAGAAGGAACTCACCACACGATTACCGGGGACCTCCAGCTTCCAGGGTGTGGTATTTGGAAAACCACAGGAACGGAAAACAAACAGGCGTATCCGAGGTGGCCACCAAAACGGAATACCGTGTAGGGCATGGGCTAGTTTTGCGAGGCCACGAATAGCACAAAAACTAGTACCTTCTTACAGAAAAACTCTTGAGTTCGAGAACTTTAAAGCACTCGTAGTGGTCATGTTGAGGCCACTGCCGGTCTATTTAGATCACGTAACATCCCGTGCCATTTAGAGGGGCGCGAGTTTGTAAGGCAACATACGGCCGGGTAAGTTTGTCCCAGAGCATTCCGGTCCAAGGAGATGTTCCCCTAGGAAGACAAGGTGTGATCAAATCGTTGTGGGGAACGGGGGATTCTCAACGTGGATTGCAAGACACACAGTTCTGACATGTCCTCAGTAAAAAAAAAAAAAATAAGGAAGAACACTGCAACCAGCAGGGTAGGTATTCTCATGAAACTCCACCTGCACCCTAAGAGTGACTAGCTTGGAGCAACCTTCTCATATCTTTAGAGAGGAGGCAATGCTTGAATCAAATCCAGCTCTCCCATTATGAATTAATGGGACTTCAGGCTTCTGAATAAATCCGGATAGTGTATTTCCCATTGGTCAGCAAAGGCCTGGGGTAGATTTAGCACTAAGACGTGTGCAAATATAATGATCTGACCTGTAGAGAGCATATGCTCGATTAAAAGAATCACATCACCAGAATCCTTTTGTTCATGATGAACCTCTTTGGCTAGTTCATTATCCCTCACTTGGGGGCCATTGGAGAAAAGCTTCATGCATCAGATTTTGGTTACCTTTCTGGGGGATGGAATAAGAGAGTCGGAAGCCACTGCCAGATGGGAACAGCAATGTGCAAAGTATGCCATAGGTCAGTGGTATCCTGGCCACCAAACACCCAAGGCTCCTCAGCTACTTCCAGATACCTGGAAGATTTCTAATCTTTCACCAGAACGTTTGGTACCAAGCAAACTGTTTCATTCGAATCCAACACGATGTTCCTCCTCTAGCAAGCAACAGGATTTTGGTTGCATGGTTTTCATCGGAAAGGTGCAGATTGTAGGGAAAAAGCCATGGATGATATGTCTAGGAACCTTCTTAGGGAGTCTCGGAAAGTCCTTGGGGATATTGAGAAGATACCACAGTGATAAGAGAATAAAAGTTACTATCTAACTTTCGCAAAGGGAGTTCCGTGTTTTGGAAAGGGAAGAGTGTTGCAATGGTACAATTTTATGTTGCTTGCAGGAAAGTGGCACCTGGGACTGAGTTGTGCCTCCCGGGGTGATCACTGCTACCACCCGCTCAACCATGGGTTCGACTACTTCTACGGGATGCCTCTTGGGCTGCTGAGCGACTGCCAGGCGTCCAAGAGGCCGGAACTGCACCGCTGGGTCCGGATCAAACTGTGGATCTCCACGGCAGCCATTGCCTCGGTCCCTCTGCTGCTCCTTGTCCCCAAATTCGCCCGCTGGTTCTCGGTCCCCTGGACGGTCATCATCATCTTGGCTCTCCTCGCCCTGCTGTTTTTCCTGTCCTGGTACTCGAGTTACGGGTTCATCCGGCGTTGGAATTGCATCCTCATGAGAAACCACGACGTTATCCAGCAGCCCATGAAGGAGGACAGGGTGGCCTCCCTCATGCTGAAGGAAGCCCTCACGTTCATCGACAGGTATCTCCTCACTTCTTGCCCGATCTCCTGCACAAGAGTTTTATTCTGATTTCATAGCAGGCGGTTACATCTTGACATAATAATATGGGCCCAGGCCGGGCGCGGTGGCTCACACCTGTCATCCTAGCACTCTGGGAGGCCGAGGCGGGAGGATCGCTTGAGGTCAGGAGTTCGAGATCGGCCAGAGCAAGAATGAGACCCCGTCTCTACTAAAAAAATAGAAAGAAATTAGCTGGATGACTAATATATATATGTATATAATATATATACATATATTAACATATATATTATATATAATAAATATATAATATAACATATAATATATATAATATTATATATATATATTAGTCAGGCATGGTGGCTCATGCCTGTAGTCCCAGCTAATCGGGAGGCTGAGGCAGGAGGATCGTTTGAGCCCAGGAGTTGGAGGTTGCTGTGAGCTAGGCTGACACCAGGGCACTCTAGCCCATGCAACAGAGTGAGACTCTTGTCTCAAAAAATAAAAAATAAGTTAAATAATATGGGCCCTTAAGAAACGTATGGTATACTTGAACCTGTCCTTAGATAGAACAGAGTAGTAACATTTTCTGCCTGTTTTCAATGCTTGAAAAGGCAAGGAAACATATTGTTTTCACTTACCCCTTTAAAAAGAAAAAAAAAAAACCTGGAATTACTATATACGTGTTGCTCCAGTGTGGATTGGTATTGATGTCTACATGGATTGAATCTTTGCTGCGGGTTTCCATTCAGATGCAGCCGGAGGGAGGCTCCTCTGCTCATGGAGATTTGGAAAGTGACTCTTGGTTTATGGATTCCGAGTTTTAGGTTGTCTGTGTTCGGTACAAGTGAGGCATGAATGTCATACCAGCTTACTTCGGGGTGACAACTTAGAGGCTCATTAAAGTTGTCAGGGCAGGTTCTCACTGACGTGGTTTCTCTTCTCCCTTAGCGGGGTTGCAGGGAAGTGGATAGAAGATGATATATTGTAACTCCACGGGTAGAATGAGTAGGTGGTGGGATGTCATTTGCCTATATACCTCTGTGCCTGCCACATTCATTATTTCCTCCAACACGTCAGGCAGAACCGTGGTACAGCTGTATTACCTGATATTTCCCTGCCGGCTCAAGTTTCTTGTGCAGTCTTTGAGAGAACACTACCTTCCCTCCCCCTCTTTTATTTATTTTTTGAGACAGAGTCTCACTCTGTCACCTGGGCTACAGTACAGTGGCATCAGCCTAGCTCACAGCAACCTCAAACTCCTGGGCTCAAGCGATCCTCCTGCCTCAGCCTCCCGAGTAGCTGGGACTACAGGTGTGCGCCACCATGCCCGGCTAATTTTTTCTATTTTTAGTAAAGATGGGGTCTCGCTCTTGCTCAGGCCGATCTCGAACTCCTGACCTCAAGCGATCCTCCTGCCTTGGCCTCCCAGAGTGCTAGGATTACAGGAGTGAGCCACCTCGCCCAGCCCTTCCCCCTATTTTAATGCTGGGTGTAGCAGGGCGTGAATGGCTAGGTTTGGAATAGTTATATGTGATGTTAAAGTGTAGGACACAAAAGCAAGATGTGAATGAGGGCGGTTCCTTTCTCTCTTGGGGTGGACAGGCTAGATATCATGAGGTTATGAACACCTCAGCTCCTTCTAGCCTACTCTGTACCATCCTGCATGAACAGTCTCATGGCCCAAGGTGGATGCCAAGGCTCCAGCTATCACACTTGTGTTCCAGAAAGCATGAAGGAGGAGGAGGAGGCAATGATGAAGAACTCTTTGTACAAAGGGCATGTTATTATTATTATTATTATTATTATTATTTTTACTTAAGTGTTGCCACTCTCCCTTGGCTGGTAGCTATTCCTATGGACACTCTTAGATGTAAGAGATTCTGAAAAGCATATTTTGTGATCACGTATTCGGTTAAATATTGGAGCTGGTGTCCTTGAGGAACACAGAGGAAAGTGGAGATTAAGGTGCATTTAATCCGTACAGCAGTGTATCTGGGTCTGTCCTTAGGACATGATTCTTCCAAACCCGTACTTGGAGACACACTCTCGGACAATAGATAAAAAGAATATTTATCTATGTATCTATCTATGCATCTATGTATCTATCTGTCTCTCTCTCTCTCTCTCTCTCTCTCTTTCTCTCTCTCTCTCTCTATATATATATATACACACACATGCATACACACCCATACATATATTTTATTCACTTTATAATTTCAGAATATTACATACATATATATATACTTATTTTTTATTTTAGCATATTATGGGGGTACAAGTGTTAAGTTTACTTATATTGCCCATGCCCCCATCCTCCCTCAAGTAAGAGCTTCAAGCGTGACCATCCCCCAAACATTGCACATCTCACTCGTTGTGTTTGTATACACTCATCCCCTCCTCCCCCCTCCCACCCTCCCGACACCCAATAAATGTTATTCCTATACGTCCACTTAGGTGTTGATCCGTTAATACCAATTTGCTGGTGAGTCCATGTGGTGCTGGTTTTTCCATTCTTGAGATACTTCCCTTAGTAGAATGGGCTCCAGCTCCATCCAGGAATATACAAGAGGTGCTCAATCACCGTTGTTTCTTAAAGCTGAGTAGAACTCCATGGTGTACACAGACCACATTTTATTAATCCACTCATGCGTTGATGGGCACCTGGGTTGTTTCCACAGCTTTGCAGTTGTGAATTGTGCTGCCGTAAACATCCGAGTGCAGGTGCCTTTTTCCTAAAGTGACTTTTGATCTTTTGGGATAGATGCCCAGTAGTGGGATTGCTGGATTGAAATGGTAGATCTACTCGTATCGCTTTTTGAAACAGCAGCTGTGCCCATTCAACAGAGACGAAAAGCTGTATTCACCCGCCACTTTATCTCAGATGCTAAGCTGGATGCAAGAGCATGCAAAACGAGCGGCACCGAGTATTCCGTAGGGAGCCCGATGTTCTGCAAGTCTTTGTTTCTCCTCCCGTCCTTTCAGCGTCAGTCCTGCTGCTGGGGCCCCGACTGCCAGGGGCGGTGTTTTGTTCTGAAGCTCACAGAAGAGTTTCACCAACTGTCACGGGGTCTCTCAGCCAGGGCAGGGTCACGTGCAAATGGGAGAGATGTCCCTTATCGACAGAGGTCATTCCGCTGACTTTCTGCCCCTTTAGGTATAAACGGGAGCCTTTTCTCCTCTTTTTCTCCTTCCTGCACGTCCACACCCCACTCGTCACCAAAGAGAAGTTCGTTGGGCACAGTAAATACGGGCTGTACGGGGACAACGTGGAAGAGATGGATTGGATGGTGGGTGAGTACTCGGTGACATCGCTTTGCATATGCACAAGGCACGAGCTAGAGGAAAAAAAAACCAAAAACTGTGTCAGTTGCCTCAAAAAATGCACGTCGCAGACACCCGACAAGCATTTGTTTCAGCGAATCTTATTAAAATCCGGGCTTTCGTTGTCCAGCAAGATCAGTTAAATACATCCCCCAAGATAACAGCTTGGGTTTTCCCGTCTTTAACGTAAAGACAGCCACTTTCCCGGAAAACCCCGCCGGCAAGATAAAGTACCGTGCGGAATATCGACGTTGCTAGTTATTTCGATGGATATAAAACGAAATGCGTTATTCGTGTTAGTTAGTTTCCGCAGGGAACGCTTAGAAATTGGGGGTGGGGATTCGTCTCAGCCAAAGCCATTTATCTCAAAGTCATCGTGGTCAATGTAGAAAAGTAACACTAAGCAATAAATCGAAAGTGGGCAGCTGGCAGGAGGGAGGGGGAGGAAGGAGGGGTATTGCATACATACCAGAAAAATAAATAACTGTGCTGCTGCAATTGCATTTTTCTCTCACTATGCGCGTGACAGAGTATTCCTTCATCTCAACAAGGGTGTTTTACTTTTGAAACAGGATACGTGTATTTTTTTTTTCCTCTTGCAAGTGGAGGCTTCTGAAAACTGTGCTATGCAGAGGCATCTAAAATAATCATAACCCAGTTCTTTGCTGCTCCTATCCATATATGTTAAGTGCCTTTGAAAGAAATAGAGCCGTGTTCATTTAAGTGCATTTAAGGTGCGTTAAAACAAGTTTTATTGTACATATATATTTTTTTGGCACTGCAAAACCACAGTCTAGATGAGTGGTAGGATATGACTTTAAACATCACTGGCGAGCTAGTGGCATCTCATAGGACAAGCAGACGCGAAATTTTGCCCTTGGGTAAATTTCTCTTTTATACTTCTACTACGTGTATCTAAAATTCTAGATACTATTTTAACACTCACAGTCTACACTTAATTCTAAAGAGAAGCCAGAGTGCGAGGAAAGTAAGTGTTGTCAGAAAGGCATTTAGGCAGAAATAGGTGGGAAAAAGGAATGTACTGTTCGAGACAATTCTAGGGCTTAATTAAAGGGAACTAATCCCTGGTCAAAACCCTTTTTCGGCTCCTTGAACTAAAGGTAATTCTCTATTCCTTAACTTAATCTCTACTGTGGTACGTGTGTGCATATTTACATACAGTTTCATTCGCTGGTAGGTAAATGCAAACATTGCAACCTGTTACAGTACAAAACAGCTACAACATTGTTGCTTTTATGTACTTATATGGTTGTGATGTTTTCCCTCTGTCTCTTTTGAAATTGCTTTCGTGTACTTACACTTTCAGTCATAAGGAGAGTTTTCTGCAAAGAGGATTTCTACTAAAGTCTGTATTTAATGTGTGTCACTAACAAATAATTATGTTTATTCTATAATGTATGTAAATACATAAGATGTGTTACAAAAGCTACTAATTGCATTTAGAAAATGGCTAACATTGTTTTTACACAGGGGAAATGTAAGAGTAGCTATTTTTTTTTTTTTTTTTTTTTTTGCGTAGCCATCTCTCGAATATTCTTGAATTTTCTCACTCATGCCTTGTAAATGTTTTATCAAAACTAGAGATATATCCAAAGTCAGAGAGGCATTTTCGTGTCTATCGCTTCTTATTTAACAATATGATTATAAAACTCAAGGGTTTACTAAGTTATCAACTTTACTCAAAAATAAGCCATACCAGTACTCTACTTGATATGACCTGCAAAATGAGCTTACTAAATTCAGTAACATTTTAAACATTCTATTTAAAGAAACTTGTGCATATTAAAAACTACTTTTAATCACTTTTCATTATTGACTCTTTTCTAGGTATCTCTGGTAAGAGGTCCTATGACCGACCCATTGCCATTGGCATTTACACATGCACACGCATGTATGCATTTTATACAATTCATATACGATGATTTATATATATATCTATTTCCAAACAGAGAAAAAGTTTGCAGCTATTTTATTTACATGACATGCATTAGAAATCACTTTTACACGTAGTCCTATAGCGAGATCTAACATGAACTGATAGTTTACATACAATTATCTTCTTACCAGAAAGCCTGCATAATCTCATCTCCTACAAACCCTGGGCTAAAATAAAATTCTTAATTTCTAAAGCAGCAACATTGCTAAAAAAAAAAAAAAAGGTCAGTGCTGCTTCTAAAACAAATCACTTTGAAAGCAACAGTTAGACAGAAATTCGGTTAATGCGCTTACAAAAAAGGAAGAGTTTTCTGTGTGGCTAGATACATTTTCTCTGATGCTCCAAGCTGCAACCGCAGTCGATTGGCAAATGCCCAGCAGAAATCGGAAATTAAATTGATAATGTTTGAAGTTGCACTAGACCAGCTTTCTACTTGTTTTTTTTTTTTGTTTAGTTTTGTTTTGTTTTAACTGTCAGCTTCAGGGACTAGCAACTCATTAAAAAAAAGTGTTTGCTGACTCTAGCAAAATGTTAGTTATCACCAGATCCGAAACCACAGTCCAAACAGCAAGAACCACCTGCAATTTAGGTATGGACTTCAGACGGCAACAGAGCACTGCAGACTCTTCATGGGAAGAGGTGCTCCCCCCTGGAGAAGTGTTTGGCTTGGCTTGCACATCTCTGGAGATGTGATGGATCAAACCATTTTTCTTTTATTAGGGCTCATAGTTTAACTGCTGGACCTAATTCACGCTACCTATTTGAATTGTTGTGGGAAACGATATTACATGTTATCACATAATGCATATAATAGAATATACTTTCTTATTTATTATGTACAATGAAAATGGTGTACATAATGTATGATAAACTTATATCATAAACCAATACTTTATATACTATCATATATATCATCTTTATATACTATCATAGTATATTATCATATACTAATTATGATATAAAATTAATCAATATAATTAATATTTACATTATAATATTATTTAAGTAATCACATTAATATGATTATACAATGAATGTGATATTATATAACACTTATAATATTATAAAATGGTATAAAATAAAGTTAATGGTACATATATTTTATATTTATATTTATATAACTATTATGTTTATAATAAAATGTATTTAGTATATAGTAGATATGTATGTAATATTCTCAAGTTTTATTTCATTATTAATATTATATTTTCTTATGTTTTATATCATAAACATGTATTTTACATAATATATTGATATATTAAGTTCTATAAAGTAAAATATTATTTATATGTCATATAATCATAACAACTTTTACACAATGGTATTGCATATTAACAACTATTATAGAATATTATATAACAGTATAGTATTTCTAATGTTATGAAATTACGTATCATTATAATAAATAGTATGTATGATACATACTATAATATATTTCATGTCCTGTTTATAATTTATTATAATATATTCGATGTCTAACAATAAATTATGTGTTCCTAGCATTATGCACGAGCATATATTTATAAGAGATACATGGCATAGATTTACACACCCTATAATAAGCGCACGCAGCACCTCTAGAGACTAGTACGTGTTACAGTGTCATGCAACCGTTGCCAATTATACAATGCCATAGAACACTGGTACGTGTGACAAGTGCATAATGGTAACAGGTACGTGCACAAGGTAAAGGCTTCCTGTTTCTGACCGTGGCAGGTAAAATCCTACAGGCTCTGGACCAAGAGCTCCTGGCCAACCGCACGCTGGTGTACTTCACCTCGGACAACGGCGCCCGCCTGGAGCCCCGGGACGGAGCTGCGCGGCTGGGCGGCTGGAACGGCGTCTACAAAGGTGATTCCTCTCAGACAACTGATGCCTCTCGCTGTAAAACCAGCAGGCAGGCTCCTCTGTTAGCTTTGCGTTTACCTGAATCCACTGGCCATGCTATTTGCATATTTTTTCGTGAGTTGTTTTTATGTTAGCTCTTCACGGACTAGGTGGGGGGGAAAAAAAAGGCTGTGCATTTTGGGGCAATTTCCGAGAGCTTCGAATAAAAATGTTGGAAGCAATGGCAACCTCGTGAGAGGAAATATATATAGGGGTCTCAGTGATCATTTGCAGAGAGTTTTTCAGCCTCAGTGCATTTGACATTGGAGTTTGGGGGACTCTGTGTGGTGGCGTGTCCCGTGCACTGGGGGTGTTGAACAGCTCGAACCCCCAGATGATGGTCGTACCTGCCCACAGCCGTGACAACCAGTGGTGTCTCTAGACATTGCCCCAAGTCCCCTGGGAGGCCCAGGTCACTTCCAGATGAGAACTGTTCCTCTAAAATGATGCTCACTGGAGTGCTTAGATGCAGGTTCTTAGTTTAATAAAATCAACCACATTATCGCTGTGTCTCAAAGAGTGTCACCCTGACCAGGAAAAGCGTAAAGTCGCTTAGACTGAGGTGCCCACCTCCTTGTGGTCAGCCCTTTCATCCGACTCCCTATGAGGCTCTTCTTGCTGGGTTATTTAACCGACTTTTTGGCAAATTGGTGCCAACAAAAGCAATATTTTAAACAAGCATTTGGTATTTGCTATTCCTGTCCTACTCCCTCATTTCCAAGCCAAAGAAATAAAATGAAAACCCAAAAGGGTATCAAAGTTTTCATTGCTATCGAAACCAGAATGTTTGGGCTTCTTATATTTTATTAAAAATATAGTGTGTTTATATATTATATACATTCAGTATGTATATACATTTCTTGTATTCATGATAGATAATATGATATATAAATTCCTACATATTCACTCTATATTGTTACAATATAAAATCCAATATGTATAAGCCATTCATAGGCATTTATATAAGTCGACATATACAGGGTAATAGCATTATAACACGGATTTTAGAATATGTAAACATATTAAGTACATTATTACCACTGGAATTAAGTATAGTCAAGCATATATATAGCATTTATACACTGGATTATATATATGTCGAACGGCATATATAAGTATCGCTATTATCATACATGGCCTTATACATTCTGAAATTGATAGAAGATGGATTCATCTCTTCTTGTCATGACAACATGCCATAGACGTGACTGTGTAATTAGCAAACAGAATCCGTGTTAAAGCTCATAAAAAAAAGTGTATTTAGCCCATCTAATGAGACGTGGTTATCACAGTTGTGATGACCATAAGGATGTGAATATGAACAGTCCGATATATAATCAATGATTAATTGCTCGTGTGGGCTTGTGTCCTGTGTGAAGCCCAACATCCTAAAACCTGCCCATATCCTTGCAAAAGGATTGGCAAAATGTCGTGGAGCAGGTGTCTGTCACCTTTCCAGGAAAGTTCTCAGCTTCACAGAGACAACCGGATACACGTTGCACAGCGACAAATGTACTTAAACCGTACCCGGATGAACAATGATCTGTGTCATGTGGCTCACAGAAGAACATAGGTTCTTAAGTAAGCTGGCAGAAAAACATCCAGGTAGCTTTATGATTGTTTGTTGCTTGCCAGAACTTAGAAACAACTAACATGAATTTGCTTCAGTGAATTTTCAAGTTTCATTGCAATAACGAACAGGGCTGAGGACCTGGGTCGGCTTTGAACACTGCTTAGGCCAGGGAATGTTTACACAGATAATTTTGCATCATTTTTTAGAAAGAGAGAGAAATTTTTCCGCCTCTAGAGAGCTCATGTTTTTTCCTTAAAGAGTCTGTGTGATCTTGACTGTGTCATTTGGCACAGGCAACGTTTTTATCTGCAACAATGCTTCAACCTCAGGATTGGAACGGTCACTCGGCGCATTTGTGCTCAGACACACGGCGAGGACCTTGTCTAAGACGTGATGGTCAGCCGCTTTTTTTTTTGCCTATAAACAATTTCCCTGTTCACACTCTCTTCTGACTGCCTCTCTACAGGAAGCCACTGTAACCAGGATAAAACCTGCGTGGAAAGCAATTGATTTCTTTAAAGAAAGCTCAAACCAGAACTTATTACCATAGACGATGTAAACACCGAAACCAAACTAACCTCCCTTCGCTCACAGAAACAACTGTTTCGCGTGGGAAACTGTTTTCAGGCTGCCCGCAAGATAATTTTTCCTGGATGGTTGTCACACTAAAGACATTTCCGAAAGTCTGTCTTTGGATCTCAAACAAGCCTTTTCTGTGCTTTCAAGTCCTGTCAAATTCCGATAAGAGCTGAAGACTGTCCCACTTCCCAAACATCCTTTCCCCAAAGCATGGAAGGTCTGTGGCATTCACTGTCACATAATATACACAGTATCTTACCGCAGCACTTATTTTTATTTATTATTACTGAATGTGTCGCTCACCCACTTAAGGGTTTGCAACAGTGTATTAACTTGTGGAAGTCAGCAATGATGCCTCGTGGCTACTTTGTATCTATCTGTCTGTGAACTTGTGGCACCCTGGGGGGTCTGCAGCCAGCTCACGGGAAACTTGCATCTGGACTGAGTCTCCGATGCAGCGGGGAAGGTTTAACTCACCTGTGTTTGTCATCTTTGCTTTTAGGCGGCAGAGGGATGGGCGGGTGGGACGGAGGCATCCGTGTGCCTGGAATATTCCGGTGGCCGACGGTGCTGGAGCCCGGGCTGGTGGTGGACGAGCCCACCAGCCTCATGGACATCTACCCGACACTGTCCTATCTCGCGGGAGGGATTCTGCCCCAGGACAGGTACGGAGACGGCGCTTGTGCCTAAGCTCGGGAGAGATGTTTGGCTGTCTGTGGATATGCTAGATACCTGTGCTAGATGGCTCGCCGATATTTCAGCCGGACGGCCAGATGTCTTTGTTCCCTTGGTGCAAAGTGGGATATTTTGTTTGTTTTCTTCATAGAATATGTCTGAACATTCCCCCTTGTGTTGCTGTTACTCATGCAAGGATTTCGCTTTTTTCTTATGGGCGGGACCTCGCCCCGTTTTGTTTCTCACAGCTTCTAGACCATCCAGCAAATATGCGCTAAATGAATTACCGAATAAAAACACGTGGGTGTAAGGGTGTGTGTGACGAATGAAGCTATCATTTGTCCTTTGCACTTTCTCTGTGAGCTTTGAAGGGAGCAAATTCACTGCATGCTTTATGGGTTTAATCCTCTGTGTGTGTGTGTGTGTGTGTGCGTGTGCGTGTTGGGGGGTGGTATCTATTCACCCCTGTGAAGTTTTATTTAAATCAAAAGACTGTGGACTCCCCATCAAATGGGTATTAACTGATCAACGCTAATGTGCACATATGGTAGTAACATTCATCAGGTGTCAGGCAGGTGGGAGGGGAGGAGGGGATGGGAATATTCACACCTAATGGGTGTGGTGCGCACTGTCTGGCAGATGGACATGCTAGAAGCTCTGATTCGGGTGGGGCAAAGGCAATATATGTAACCTAAATATCTGCACCCCCGTAATATTCTGAAATATAAAAAAATAAACTGCAAAATTTAAATCCCCCCCAAAAAAGGAAAAGATCACGAGGAGCTCAATCTTTTCAATGCACGATGCACGACATGAATTCAAACTGCCTTTAAGGTATGAGAATAGTATTTCCAGCCGGTCCCTTCTCCCATGACCTCAGAAAATGAATTGGTTTTCAATCTCTTTCTTTTTTTGTCATAAAAAAAGTGAAAAACATGTCGTAAATTTCAAGAAATTTGTTCTTTCTCCTCTTCCTTTCCTTCC